GGCCAGTGCGGCACACAACGGCGATGAGAGGTTTTTGTGTTTGTATTTAGTCATTAAATTTTCCGTAACTGTCAATTAGTCTCGGCGTCGTTAGATTCCGGTTTTACTAGTCAGTCACTCAATCATAAGCCTTCTTGAGAAACACAGTATTCTAGTATTTCGTGTGGCTCTAGTAAAAGCCGGATGGGCGCTTGCCGCGTGTAAGATAAATCTTCTTACTTTGTGTTTCACGAACCAAAACCAACCAAAAGGAAATCACCATGTAAGGAGAAGGAATTGAAAGCTTTTAAAAACACGTTGCTTCTTTCATCGGTTGTTGTCAAAAGAATGGAAGCTGTTGAAATGATACTGTAGTCAGCATAACGCCTGAAAATGAATGTTATTGGAAAATAAAGCAAACACTATGATCGCAAATAGGACATAAACTTGAAAAATGATGTACCGAGTGGCCCACCTAAGATGTTCCCTTCAATTTTCTCCTGAACTCTTGCAGATACTGAGATGCGGTTTTCACTAAAACTACTATATTCAAGGGGCACAAGTGGCCATGCATAATATTATTCTATTGCATTTTTTATTGCAGTGATATTGACCCAAATTCGGTTTTTTAAATGGAACCCTATAGATTTTTTAGCTCATCATAACAAGCGTGAAGTTCATAAATTTGCATATCACCATACGTTAAATAACAAAAGTTTCGAGAAATTAGAGTTTTAAAGACGCACGTCGACGGCTGGTTTCCGTAATCTGAACGAGAAATTCAGGGTGATATGCGGCGAGGCCATTCTCTTCGGTTCGTCGACTCTACTGAACATACTGGAGGCATTGTTAATATTATTATTCTAACTACTAATATAATTTAAATATATATAAACGAAAATACAAAATATAGAAATAAGATTTGGTACAAAAAGGACAATTCAGTACAGCAGTTCTATATCCCACCATCAGCCATGTTTTGACTGCAAAAAACATGGCGGCCCTAGTTCGTCGAGTGTCTGCCAAGAGCGGTCAAGCCATAGGATCAGCAACTTTATGCAGTTTATTCTTGCTCGTTGAGCAGAGCCTTGCAACTCTCCATCAAAACAGGGGTCAAATCTCGAGGGTGCTACTACAGATGTTGCCAGGTAAAGCTGCAGGTTAGGCTCGCCAACTTCCGCACATATATTGGCTAATTTGTGAGAATTAATAATAGTGACTTTTAAGTGTTCAATTGTCAGGATCAGGACTTAAAAGAATCAATTGACTGCTAAATAGAATTATGTTTTATTGTAATAGAACAGTTATAAAAAAATACAGAGCGGTGTGTTCATGACCACCAACTCCTATCAACTGAACTGGGATGCGTCGTGCAGGTTCATAGCTCGGCAGAACTGCTGCCCTCTGTTAGGCCTCGACTTGACTATCTGACATCAATTATCAATACTATACACATATAAGAAACTTCTGAAGAAAGCGCGAACATCGACGCTATCTTTTGTAACATTATGGGCCTGCTTGCGACCCGCAAACGTACACAACAGTTACGCACGATTTACGCATCGTTGGCAGCTGCTCGTGTTTTACTTCCTGTACGACGGTGCTGCAGCTGAGCGCGCCTCCGTAATGGTTTCCGTGTTATACGGGAGTTATAAGAATCTGCCATTTTTATATTATATACAATATATATGTATGTATATATATGTATGTGTGTGTGCGTGTGCGCGGGCGTGTGTGCGAGTGCGCGCGCGTGTGTGCGAGTGCGCGCGCGTGTGTGCGAGTGCGCGCGCGTGTGTGCGTGTGCGCGCGCGCGTGTGCGTGTGTTTGTGCGCGCGCGCGTGTGCGTGTGTGTGCGCGCGCGCGTGTGTGTGCGTGTGTGTGTGTGCGCGCGCACGCGCATGTGTGTGTGCGTGCGCGTGTGTGTGTGTGTGTGTGTAACACCATCGTGCCTGTTCTTGGATCGCAGGTTGCCAGCGGGAGGTTTGGATGCCGGGAGCTGGGAGCGGGGCTTCATTCGGAGACTCCGTGTCGCTGTGTGGTGACAGCTGCGGCCGCATGGAGCGCTGGCGAGGGCGCGTAGCCGCGGTGACCGGAGCGAGTTCTGGCATCGGCGCCGCCATTGCCGCCCAGCTGCAGGACGCTGGGCTCATCGTCATCGGCCTGGCTCGAAGAGAAGATAAGATCCCGGTGAGTAACGTTCCGTCACGCTTCTGAAGAGATGAACCAAAGTCTCGTGAGATCGTAGGCTTCTGCGGCCGGAGTCAGAATTTACTAGGCTGTCCGGGTGACGCCGCGTCCGTGGCGATGGTGCCGACGTTTCGGTCGCCATTCTGCGACCTTTCTCAAGGCGTACCGCGCACATGCTTATGGGGTATACGAGATCCCATGCAGCTGCAGACATAGTTACATTGGCGAGACGAGACGTACCGTAGAGGAACGCCTCCGGGAACATATTCGTAATTATAAATACAATAATACGAATAAATCGACGGTAGCCCTGCACGCATGGAAAACTATCCACGCTATTCTATTTGATGACACTCGCCTCTTAGCCAGAGAAAACCGCTGGGGCACGAGGAGGGTAAAAGAGGCGGTGGAAATCATCAAACACCCCTATAACGTGACACACACACACACGAGCATGGTTCACTAAGTCCTTGCGGTCTACTCCCGGTGGGAGCTCTTCCGCGA